ACATATTTGCTGAAGTGTAAAATCAGTAAACTAGCTTTGGAAAACAGTGCCAAATTATTTAGTAAACTTTGAAATGTGTAAACCCTGTGGCTTAGCAGTTCCCTTCCCAGGTATATATGCCTCAGGGAACTAAATACGCGTGTGCCCCAAGATGTATGCTGAAAATGCTCACAGCTGCACTGTCCGTTGCTACCCGCAAAGTGAAAATAAACCAGCAAATGAACATGAAAAAATAGAATGAATTATTAAATTTTATACTTTTCTATTGGGTTGTCTGTCTTTTTCTCATGGGTTTATGGAAAGTTTCTCTCTCTCTCTCTCTCTCTCACACACACACACACGCACACACCCCTTGTGACATAATCACAGACTAGCAACTGAGAAATGTTATGAACAGATGGTAGGATTCTTGGGCTTGGAGATGTAGCTGGATGGTGAGAACCTACAGAAATTCCTCTATAATGTGTAATTTCTCTGTGGAGATGTGATTGTTCTCAGGTTCCTTGCCTACTGTGATGGCAACAAGTCCCCATGGCCCACAGAAGTAGTGGGCTGAGGAATGAGCAGCCCATCCACTTCTAAGCTGAATGGTCTACTTTCTTACAAACCCCTGCCGACATGCCACATGCAAGCCAGTCTCCTACCTGGCTTCAGGTTGCTGTTTAGGAACAACCTCCTCACCCACACCTATAACTTTATTGCCAGCAGCGCTACTAGGCAGGAGGGGGGAAGACATTTTGAAAATCCCCCTTCCCCTGTTACTCCTTCTGACATTCAGAACAGCCTTGGTGAGGGTGAGTCTGGGGCTCTCACTTCCCCTTCGATGAGGAGGGAACTGGCTCACAGATAAGAGGCCTATGCCAGTCTCAGGAAGGCTGAGTCTCTCATCTTGGAATTCCAAGGTCTTTTCACCGTCTTCCTTCAAAGTCTGGCCCAAGTCCCACCTCCTCCTGGGAGCCTTCTCTGTTCACAGCTTTATCATTGGTCTCAACTATTACTTTCTGCACAACTCATTTGACCATGGGCACAAATGCCTTGAGCTGTCATCTCTCCAGCAGTCTGTGCCCTGTTCCACTGTGGTTTTTGTAAACCGCTCCTGAAGCGAGAGCAATGTTCCTTGTCACCGGCCCATTCACAGACTTCACACTGTGCCTGCAGCCTGCGGCCTGGGCCAAGGAACAGGGGCTGGGCTTGGCCAGCTCTGTGGGCTGCAGCATTGAAAAGTCCACTCTGACGCCAACGATCAACTATCAAGACTGAAAGAAAGTATGCCCTGCTCCATTCACATTCTGTAGACTCCTGGGAAAATTCCCGCTGACATAGTTCTTAGGCACTGAGTCATGAATCTCCAGATACATTACATCAGGCAACATCCACCAGGGGTTTTACTTTGTTCAAGTAGGGGTTAGCTCTTAGAGTCTTGCATTTATTGCATTCTCCAGAGTGCCTGCCAGACGTAGATGCTCATCATGAAAGATCTCTGGAAGTAATTTATACATCAAATAAGACCTCCCCAGAAATCTACTAAAATATACAACTGCTTTCCTTTTCTCAGTGTACTGGAGCAAGAAGGGCAAAGACTCAGGCAAAAATCTTTGCTTCTCTTTTTAACAGTAGGCTGTAAGTTAATTTTTCAAAGCATTGGTTTCTTCAACCACAAAACTAAAGCCCAAAAGTCTGTCTTATGGTGAAAAAAAGAAGAATAAAAATGTCTTTTGACATATCAAGACCTATATAGAACAGAAAGTATAAGACTCTAGCAAGATTTGGTTCTCTTTGAGTGTCAGCAAGTTCAGGAGTGGGGCTTGGGATTTTCAGTTACAAAATGAGAGGATTCATTTGAGTTGTGTATGGTTTTCTTTTCAAATTTTCTTTTTAATTGACACATGATGATTATACCATTTAACTTGGAAGGTGAAAGAGTCAAGGACTGCAACTGCCAAGGAATTCTAATATTTTAATTTTCAATTCCATATACAGAAAGCTAAACAAATTGTCTAATGCACAAAGGGAGGCTCATATTTAAAATAGTTCAATCATAATCCTCTTTCAAATGAATAATGTAGCCTGAAAGAAATAATGGCCCTGATAATGTGCGTTTTCACACCCTGTTCTGGACACTTCCAGTAGGAAGCCTTTCTGTACCATGCTGACTCCTGTTTCACGCTTCAGGCTTTCCCACTCATCAGACCACTCCTACAGGGAGAGGGCGGGCACTGTTAACACCCAAGTGGAAAGGTAGTCTCCGCTGGGCAGGATCTCCACATGGAAATGAAAGGCTTCCCACGGTAATGTGTGCTCCACACTCTGTCGTCTTATAGACGAGACATCTCCTTCGGAGTGGTTTCTGTAAACAAATTCTTGTGTGCTGTCGACTTGAAACATGTGTGCCCTAGATGTGGAAGATTTGAGGACAGGGCGTTAAACAATGGTTGGAAGCAAAGGCTTAAGTTTGGCTGAAGGGGAGAGAGTGTGGGGGCTCAGAAGCTAAGTGAGGGGTGCAGAGGAGGCCAAGTGAGGGCAGGGGAGGGCTGTCAGCAGACTAAACACATGTGCTTGTGGTGGACGTGTTCACGAGCTAGATTTCATACTATCTTTGCAGATTACCCTGTGCAGAGGAAGAATTGCAAATCTTTACAGTGTATTGGGTGCAAAGAGGGGGCCTGACTTCCTCGAGGTCATGTGACAGAGGAGAAGAGTAAGGATTTTCATCCAGCTCTGACAGTTACCATCTTCGGTTACCCATCTGCGGTCATAGGTGGCCTTGTTTGAGGTGATCTCGACAAAAACTTGAACTCTGTAGGTCCACACTTAGAAGACCACACTTGCCCAACGGAACTGAGGTGTGGGGGCATAAAGAAACATACTCAGGAACCCACCTACTATGACTACAGCAGTTATGATGTACACACGTCGCACTTCCATTTTCCCTGGGGATCGAATGGCTTAGTGATGAGGAAAGTTCTCACTGGGCCAGCATTAAAAAAAAAAAGTTGAGAAGACAAGAAAGGAAAAGGGGAGATGAGGAAGAGGAGACAGGAATTAGCAGGAAGAAGAACAGGCAACCATACGAAGCAGGAAAAGCAGAGGCTGGCCTGTGCTCGATGCCTGGACGTTACTTCCTGGGCTCATCTTCAAGTCGGGCACTTTCCGGAAGTTGCTGAGATCTACTTGTTGGGGGTCCTGGCCCGTGGAGGCTGTCCTGAGGCAGTGTGTGCTGCTGGAACGGGCGAGGCAGGTGGAAAGAGGAGGCAGGGAGCTGCTGCCCAAGCCTGGGATTCAGAAGCCCCTGATCTTCCCAGGTGATGGCACCGTGCAGCCCAGAAGGCCCTTCCCGCACACTGGCCTCGTGCTCCCAAGCTCCCTCTCTGCTCCTTTCTCACAAGACCTCTGATTGGACATCCTCACACAGAGCTGCCCTGTGCACAACAGTATGTGGTGACCCCAAAACTAAGTTGATCTCCTAAACTATCTGAGCTAGACGACTAAGATTCCTGGGTTCCATATTTAGAGTACAAGTTGATTTATTTGGTTTGGGTTTTTTGGTTTTTGGTTTTGTTTTTTTTGAGATTTTGAAATCATGAACTGTATTGGTTCCTCAGATTACCTGTAGCTATAAATATCATCAAGAAGCAGAACTAATCACCACTCCTTTCCCACACAAACACCATTTAGGACAGGAAACAAGACCAGTATGTTGACTAGCAATGCGTGTCACTGTGCCTTTCCTATTTTAAGAAGTAATTTTCCAGGCAGATTTTTTTTTTATACTGGTAACATCCAATTACAGAACATCAGATTACAACAGGAACCCAGAAGTGGGCAGAATTGTTGAAAAAATAACAGATTCACCAAGCTTAAGGGTACTGAGAAATGAAACCTTTTAATCCAGAAGACAAATACCTCCTCTCATAGCCCTGGAAAAGTCACTGCCATTCTCTGAACCTTTACAAGCTTTGATGATTATGTTAGACAGGAACCAAAAGCAGAGAAGAGAGAGCAGGCTCTCTAAAGAAAGGTGTGTTTATTCAGGTTAAAGTTTGAGCAAGTCATGTACTGAAATGTTCCTTTCTTCTGCATACAAGCTTTATTATTTTCCACCAAAGTTGTCCCAGCACATTAGCAGAAGGGGATGGAGAATGTGAAGGTCCAGGTCGGTCAGTGACAGTGGGATGTAGGTGGGGATGGGGTGGAGGGCTGGGAGAATTTAATCCTACATCGCCTGACTCTTGGTCCAGCACACTCTCCGTAAAGTTGTAATCTTCACCGAAACATGATTAGACATATTGAAACAGTCTCTGTCGGTAATAGAAAATCATGTGTTCATAAAAAGATGTTTTGTTTAAATGTTTAAGGAGATAAAATTACCACCTACCCTGATTTCATCACTACACACATATTGCATATATATACAAAATTATCACATGGTAAGCCATAAATATGTACTATTAAAACAATCACTAATTTAAAAAAACTAACTGTCCAACCCACAAACCAAAAAAACAAAATATTATGCATTCCAATTGATACATTTTTTTTCAAGAGTAGGAAAAATTTATTGAGAGAGAAAGCTTCTGTCTAAGAGAGACAGAAGGGGGACCGGAAAGTGGGTTGCCCTTCTAATTGATACATATTATGAATGAAGGTGTGATCCTTACACCGCATTTAATAGTGAATGGAAATTTTTTCACAGTTAAAACTAGGAAGGAAAAAATTCAACACATTCAACTCTGTGCTTCAATTTTCTGCTTTAAACCTCATCAAGAAACCAGCACAAGTGTCTGAATGTTCCATGCTATTGTTTGCGAAGCATAAGATTTTCTTCCTAAATGACACATTTCAAAGTTCTGCTTTTTATAATGTCTAATAGCAGAAATAACCACTGTTCTTGTGGATGAAAGAACAGAAATCTTCCAGAACTCAAGAGTCATGATGGCATTTAGGTCCAAGAGAAAGTCTATCCTCTTGTTACCTGCCTCCTTTCTACTCACACTCAAAGATTAGGGATGAAGTTTGTGGAGTATTTTCCAAAGAGCACTTTTCACTTCCTTGTTCCTCAGGCTGTAAATGAGGGGGTTCAGCATGGGGATAACCACAGTGTAGAACACAGAGGCGATTTTGTCAGTGTCCATGGACTCCCCAGAGCTGGGCTGCAGGTACATGAAAATGATGGTCCCATAGAAGATGGACACGGTGGTGAGATGGGAAGCACAGGTAGAGAAAGCCTTCTTGCGTCCCTCAGCAGAATGCATGCTTTGAATGGCAATATATATGAAGAGATAAGAGATGAGGATAATGAGGAGGGTGAAGAAGACGTTAAAGCCCACAACAAAGAACACAATCAACTTGCTGATACGTGTGTTGGAGCATGCAAGAGCCAAGAGTGGGGGAATGTCACAGAAAAAATGATTAACCTCATTAGACCCACAGAAGGAGAGCCTGAAGGTGTCTGCTGTGTGGATTGAGGCATTGAGGAAGCCACAGACATAGGAACCAACCATCAGGAAGGTACACACTCCTGCTGTCGTGGTGGAGTAATGAAGAGGTCTACACACTGCTGCATGGCGGTCATAAGCCATGGAAGCCAGAAGGTAACACTCGACAGTGGCAAAACCCACGAAGAAGAAGAGCTGAGTGGCACATCCACTGTAGGAGATGACCTTGTCTCCTGACTGCAAGTCAGCCACCATCTTGGGGGCCACAGCTGAGGAGTAGCGCAAATCTACAAAGGAGAGGTTACTGAGGAAGAAGTACATGGGGGTATGGAGATGGGAGTCTGAAAGGATGATCACTATCATCCCCCCATTCCTAACCACAGTGATGAGGTAGATGAATAAAAACACCAGGAGGAGTGGAACCTACAGGCTGGGGTCATCTGTTAATCCCAAGAGAATGAACTCTGCCACTTCTCCAGTGCTATTCTCCATTGAAGTCAACTTAAATTTCACTTGGTAATTAAAGAAAAAGGCCAGGGAAAAGCAGATGAAACTACAAGAAGAAGTGGAATGATATAGAATAGAAGACTAACATATATTGGTAATGCAGCACATGTAAGATACACGCTAGGTCCTTCCACTTTATCATAGCACTTACTCCTGAGACAGGTGGTGTTATGCCTGTTTTATAGATGAGAAAGTTCAGATTCAAGAACCTTAATACTGGAAAAGGTTGTCTAATTAGTAGAGGTCAAAATAAAAGTTCATTCCTTTATATTTTTAATCCAAAGTTCATGTACTCATAGACTCTACACGTTTACATGATATAAATATATATTATGATGTAGATGTGCCTAGCAACATAGTTGCTAAGATTTCACTCAAGTTTTTAAGAATCAAAAAGAGAAGACTATTAAGTTAAAAAAAAAAAGAATCCATCATCCTTTATCTTCCTCGTTCCACCTCAATAATTTAGCCTCACTAGATTTCTTGAAATTTTTGCTGCACAGGTAATTATTAAATAATATTAATTAAAGAAATTGTAATAGCTTACCATATGCTAGATACTACCCCAAGGGTTCTAGTTGCATTTAATTCGATCTTCACACAACATTTGAGGGGTTACTCTATTATTTTCCTCATTTTATACAAGGAAAAACTGTATATATGGAAATATTCGACTCCTTCATTTCCAATCTTTATTTTACCTATATAAACAATATTCTATAATTTAAGACATGCCAATAGAATATTTTTCCTTCTCACTTTAGATAACTTCCCCATTGGCAGTCTCCTCTTTCTAGATACTATTTTCTTCCAAAATAGAACATTTTTTTATGGTGACTAGAGAGCTGCAAAATAATAACAGTTAAATGAATATTGACTAAAATCACATAACACAGTCTTTCAATACTATTTGGGGGCTTATTACTTAACACTGGTTCAGCAGAAAGAGGGTGTGGTATCATATATAAATGTGTATATGTATAAGTCTTATAGATATAAATGTGATCCTGATTACAGTGAAGTTCTCCCTTGCTGCATCTTGTTGATTGTCACATAATTAGTTGGGTGACCACCCAACTCCTTGACTTGCTGTGAGCCTCCTGGGACAGTGACTGCATTCTTCCTTTCTCGTCTCACCAGGCCCACCATGGCCTCCAGCACACATAAATATATACTTGGTGAACTGACTAGAACAGCAATGACAAACACAACAGACAAGCTATTGTTCTCTTGTTTATCTGAGTCCACACTTCCTGCCAGTATATTAGCTTAGACTTATGGCATGAAAAATATTCAGAAGCAGCAATGAGTTTGGAGGTGGTCAGGCCTGGAGAAAGACTGTGTCCTACTTTTAGAACACTCTCTCCCTCCTACTGCCTTTCCTCAGCTTAAGCATCCACAGGCTCTCCCAGCCTCTGTAGCAGAGTGGGTGGGAGCCATTGAGGGAAGAGAGGAAATGCATGAAGAGAGGAGGGGAAAAGACAAACAGGCATGAGAAGGAGAAATTGTTTAAGCTAGCGTGGCCTCACCTTGCTTTGGAGCAACTGGTGAGGAGCTCTTTGCAAATAACACAGAAGAAGAGCACGCCCTGGCTTGTCCCTGTGGCTGGTTTCACAAGGACCAGGTCAGCCATCTTGGAAAGTTCAGTGAGATGGAGACCCTGCTAGTACTTCACTCCTGATTTCCAGATTTTGCCTTTGTAAACAGTGCTTCAGAAGTAACCTTGGAAGTGTTGTCTCATGCTCATGAAACAAATTCCTAGAATTTCATATTTTTCAGCCTTTTCCACTTGTTCATAGATTTCCGACTGAGCAGCAGTACTTTCCCTTATTACTTTCATCCAGCCTTTCTCATGCTCTTTGTTTTGACCTTGGACACATTCACTTATTCCCTAATTTAGCAGAAACAATGCACCATAGTCTATGATGAGTAGTGTCCTGGTCATACATATGAAGTGTCACTCAAAAGTCACATAACTACTTAACTGTAAGTGTCACATTTTCGAGGGCCAGATTTTTCCACATCGCCACTATGGACATAGCCAGCTGGACAGCTCTCCACCTATTAACAATTTATATTCAAGGTGCTTTCTGTGTTATCTTGGTGAGCAACCCTTCTCTTTATGCATGTAGTTACTGTTGGTAAATGTGTCTGGATTCAGAGCAGCAAGGAGGCTTCTGGAGTCAGAGTGTAGAGAAAAGGCCTCATTTACCCAGCACAATCCCTGAAGCGCCACAGGGCCTAACTCCAAAACCTGATACCGTGAGTGGTGGTACCTCAGCTCACAAACTTAACTCGTCCCACAATTCTGGGGAAGATGGCCCACCACAGTCCTGTTCGTCACCCAGTGCAAAGCTCATACTGAACTGAAAAGAACATTAAAATTTAAGAGATTTTTATTGCTATAAAGAGAGAAGGAGACTAAACCATCCAGATGTCTGGAAATAAAAATGTTTCATCAAAGTTTCTTCTAAAGAGGTTGGAAAATCACTCCCAACCACCACACTCCATTGGGGAAGTCCAAAGATCATCAGTAGAATTGCTAAATTCCATGAAGGAAGAGATAAATCTACTTGTCTCTGTTAGTGTTCTGTGCTTCATTACCCACTGGCTGCACCAGTGGCAAGCACACAGTAGGCTTAATTGTCTTCTAAGTGTATAAGTGAATTAGAATCTCAGAAGTTGAGTTAGAATAATAGCTTTAATGATGCTTACTTGCTTTGGAACTATAGATAAGTAAGTTTCCCTGTATCAAGAGAGTATGAAGTAAAATAAAGTATGGGAAAATCCAGCCATCATGTGGTCCATGGGAGGTCCACAATACAAACAAATGTATCTCTATTAACCTACATCAAGCATATGAACTTGTTTCCCAGACTTTAAACCAGTTGATAGCAACATTCCATCTAGAATGACTATGTCGATGGCTGCCTAAGTGATGATGCAAAATCATCTACAGGAATCTCCTTCTGACTGTTCTTGCGAGACGTGGCAGAAGAGCTTCAAGAAAATGGAATTAAGAGCCCTTTAAGCCTACACCTGGCCCCTTTCTCCTAGCTAAGCCTACTATTTCTGCCCACAGTGTGAAGAATGTGGCTGTAAAAGAGTTGGGGAAAGCAGACCTATATCCTAGGGAGTTATGAAATCTTAATTCAGAACTGCCTTCAAGGACTGAACTTTCTGAAGTCTAAAAAGAAAAGAAAATCTGTTCGGTCTCAGAAGGCCTTGAATTTCAAATAGTAAAAGATTTCCTGAGGCTGTGTAATAAAAGCACACAGACAGTTCTGCTGCCGTGACCGTTTATGTGAGTCCCAAAGTGAATCACACCAGCCTGTGTAAGCGGGCTGAGGTCCACGGGAAGATGCTGCTTACATAGACTTAGGGTCCTCCGGAGAGAAGCTCTCCAAACTGGGACTCAGCAACACATAAACAAGCAGTCAAAACAATACTTTCCTGGGGGAACTGAAACATTACTGTGACATGAACAATCCTCCAAGACCCTCCTCAAGGGACAAAAAGACTCCATTTCTCAAGTCTCAGGGAAGATTATTGGTGAGGAATTTTCATCAAAAATGCTCTCAAAGAAAAACCACATTTTCTTTATCCAGTCTCCAGCTGATGGGCGTTTGGGCTCTTTCCAAGTTTTAGCTATTACAAACTGTGCTGCTATGAACTTGGGTGCACATATATCACTGTGGTATTCTTTTAATTCTTTAGGGAAGAAAAACAAGAAATTCCATAAAAAATGAGAAATTAAAAATTTTCACCAGTGGTCCCTCAGACAAAGGTCTACTATCTAGAATCTATAAAGAACTTTAAAAAAATCAGACCTCTCAAATTTAAAGACCCAATCCAAAAATGGGCATCTGAAATGAACAGACATTTCTCAGACAAAGGAGTAGAAATGGCAAATAAACATGAAAAAATGTTCAACATCACTGGTCATTCGAGAGATGCAAATGAAAACAACACTGAGATTCCACCTCACTCCAGAAAGAATGGCTACTATCAAGAAATCAATCAATAACAAATGCTGGCAGGGGTGTGGGGAGAAAGGAACCCTTCTCCAGTGTTGGTGGGAGTGCAGACTGGTGCAACCACTGTGGAAATCAGTATGGACATACATCAAAGAACTAGGACTGGAAGTCCCATTTGACCCAGCTATTCCCCTACTGGGCATCTTCCCCAAACAATTAAAAGAATCATACCACAGCTATATATGTGCTCCCATGTTCATAGCAGCACAGTTTATAATAGCTAAAACTTGGAAATAGCCCAAATGCCCATCAACTGGAGACTGGATAAAGAAAATGTGTTTTTTTTTAAAATGGAGTATTACTCAGCCATAAAAAATGAGAAATTAGAGACATTTATAGCTAAGTGGATGCACATTGAGGCGATACTCTTAAGTGAAATAAATAGGGCACACATGAATAAATACCAAATAGTTTCTCTGGTGTGAGAAACTGAAAGTGTAAATAAGGACTAAAATGTATAATAGATAATGTGAAATAAGAAGAAAAGGGGCAAAGGGGAAGGGGAAGTGGGAGGGGTAGGGGAAAGGAAAGAAGGGAATGGAATTAATATGAGAAAATGAAAAAATGGAAACAAAGGCTTTGCAAATAGGGAGGGATGGAGGATTGAAGGGAGGGCAGGGGAGGGGGGAAAAATAAGAACCAAGATGGATTATGTAAAGGTGCACATTTCCAATGATGAGTGTCATTATATTGTATACCTAAAATGTACCATTGAAATAAAATTTTAAAAAAATACTCTCAAAGGAGTATGAGACGCAACCACTCAGCACTCAGCCTTAGGAAGATACCCTGCACTGGGAGTAGGCTGTTTCTCTAAGACTAAGAGAGGAGGAATCTTTAAATGGCCCATTCAAAAACAATCAGCTACCTCAAAATCTCCATTTTTTTAAGCCCAGCTTTGACTACAGAGCTCCAAGTTCAGGAAATTGTTTTCCAATCAATTTGGTT